CCGGCAGCCAACAAGAAACTATGAAGACCCCATGCTCACCCCCACCACCACCCCTGACAAAAAGCCATACAAAACGCACTCTGCCTCCACATTTGGAGCATGCGCGACCAACCCGATGCGGCCCTCCCCCACCATCCCTATCAAAAAGCAATACGAAGTACACTTCGGGGCAAAATCTTGAATCCTTTTCGTGAGGCCCGCGAGGATTGTGTAGTGTTTTCGCCAGGGGACGGCGGAGGTGTCAGTATATTGCCTGTTGTGCGCAGGGCTATCATCCCTAACAAACAACAATACAGACTGCACCTATCGGCAAAATCTGGATCATGCGCGGCCACCCCGCGATCACTGATGATCACTGTCAAATGGTTCGTGGCAGGGACGGCAGGGGTGGTGGCGTATGGCCTGCTGCGCGCAGGCCCACCAGGCACAATGATGGGCATTGGTGTTCGACAAGGACGGTGGGGGCCGACATGTTTCCCGATGTGTGCTGTCACGTGCGCAGGCGCACCTGACACACTCTGCACGTGCCCCGAACGTTGCACACCTGGCGCGGCTGGAGTATGCAGCACACCTGGCGCACGCGGAGCACGTGGCGCATCTGGCGCACCAGGCGTGTTTGGCACGCTCGGGCCCCGGGGGTGCCTGGCACGCGTGGCGCACCTCGCTCAAGCGTCGCGCACATTGGGTCGGCTTTGGTTCCCAGTAGCTGCCCATCCAAAGACGACCGCTGAACATGCTCAGGCTCGGGTGTTACTTATGTGTTGGTAGGGCGGGTGGGAGTGAGCTAGACGGCTTGCTATCTAGAGGTGTTTTGACCCCTCCCCCTACCCCCTACCCCTGGACCTGAACAGGAGTTTTCGCAAAGGGTTGGAGCGTCCAAGATGACCTCCGCGGGGAAGCCGAGATCATTGATTTTACTGTGGGTGTTGGCCACGTTTTGGCCTCCTGGGGGGGTGGGGCTAAGTTAGCAAGGCCCGTCCTTTGATCGATCTCCTCCAAGATGGCCTCAAGATGGCGCCCGAAGCTCCGCGCTAGTTGAAAAGCAGCAGGATGCCACACTCCTGGCTGCTTGGAAAATGATAAACAAGTCAGGCGCGCCGCCGCCTAGTAGAGCGGCGGCGCCGGCGAAATAAAAACAGCGTGCGACCCAGGAGGCCGCCGGTCAGCGAATTCTGGCGGGGACGCGGGGGCTCTCCACGCCGGGTGCCCCAGGGTGCCCGAAGCTCCCCAGGGTGCCCCCCAAACGGTCCCGAGAGGTGCCCAGGAGGCCCCGGGGTGCCCCCCAAAGGCCCCGAACACGCCCCCCACGAGGCCCCCAAGAGGCCCCCCAAAGAAGACCCAAGAGGCTTCCAAGAGGCCTCTGCCCTCCTCCTCCTCCTCCTCCTCCTCCTCCTCCTCCTCCTCCTCCTCCTCTGGGTCGCCCACCTTCGCGCCATCGCCATCGCCATCCACTGCCCTTCGCCAGCGTAGGCCGCGACTCACGCGAAGCGCGATGATCGTCACGCCCCTGGGGGTGACCTGGCCGCTCATTGACTACCTACCAGACCACCCCAAACCAACCCGAAGACCCCCAACATTTCGCATTGGAAGGGGGTGCGGGTTCCGCATGTTTTTTGTCAGTCTTCCCCGACGCCACCCCCATTCGGAATGGAGGGCAGGTTAGGGCCTTCGGGTTGGGTTGGGGTGGTTTTCGGAGGCGGCCAAGAGGAGGGCGTCTAAGAGGGGGGGGCACAAATCATGGCCAGCGGCATGTGCGCGGCCCAGGCGGGGTGGGCCAGGGACGCATTGAAATAAGAAGAGTCGCCATGAAATATGGGGAGAGATCATGGCCCCCGCCATGATAACCACCCCCCCTGGTCATCGCCCCGCTCTTTGCCGCCCACGAGGTTTGGTGGGTGGTGACTCGTGGCGATGCAAACTCGAGCGCGCTTCCCAAGTGAGGCCCCTGGGTGGCGCAGGCGAGAACCGCCCGAGCTTAAACACGTCGTGATATCCCGTCGTTTTCAGCGGCTATTACAGCCGAGCGCGCTGGCTGGCATGGAGAAAACGAGCCCTGAGGGAAATGGGTCCCAGTCGGCGGCGAGCGAGGGGTGGGGGGGAAGTGAGAAGGAGAAGGCCTTCTCAGAAACAGGCGGGGCCTCTCAGAAGCCCCCGCGCCCTCTGAGAGGTTCTCCGCACCTCCGGGGAAGGCCCGGCAAACTTCTCAGCAGGCGCGGGGGACTTCCTCCTCCCTCTTCCCTCCTCCCTCTTCCCTCCTCCTCCTCCTCCTCCTCCTCCTCCTCCTCCTCCTCCTCCTCCTCCTCCCACCCCCACGCTCGCCGCCGACCTAGGCGGGCCCCGTGAGCCCGAAGATACGGAAATGCTCGGGGCCCTTTTCCCGCAGGACCCACTCTTGGGGTACGCAAAAAAGATACCGATAACGATGCTCTACGGACCTCCCCTGGGGTGTGTACTGACCAACTCGAGGCGAACCGAGGGGTTGCGACGAGGGCTCTCCAGGACGAACAGCGGTCCGCTTTACAGACCCTCCTCCGACTTTTCTTTACGGCGAGCTGGAGGAGCACTTCATACCTCCTCCTCCTCCTCCTCCTCCTCCTCCTCCTCCTCCTCCTCCTCCCCCTGCTTCTCCTCCTCCCGCTTGTGCGCGCGAAGCACCGTGGGCGCGGCGACGAAAGCCAGGGCCATGATCGCTGCGGGTCTGGCCGGGGAGGTGGGGGTCGCTGCTGTCTGTGGGGCAGCGGCCTTGGACGAGCTCTCGAGCCAGATGTCCTGGGACGGAGGGGGGGACGGTGGGAGGGGGGACATCCACTTTTGGCCCTCCGCGCGGATTTCTTGGATCCGCGCCGGACCCCCCTCCCTGGCGCGCGGAGCGCGCCGCGCCGCCAGGGGGCCCCAGCGCGGATCCAAGAAATCCGCGCGGAGCGCGAAAGTTTCTGTTTGCAGCGCTGTTCTTCGAGACTAGGTAGAACCACGCCAGCCCCAACGAGAACGGAACATCGCGCACTCGTGCTACCCAGTCCGAACGAGTCGAGTGCGCTTCGACGCGGCGCCGGGGTGGAGCTCGCCAGGCCGAGGCTCACGCTCTGGACCGAATACTGCACTACAATCGTTGTGTTCGCGATGAAAAACTTCTCTTTGGCCTGCATGTTGTTACGCTTTAGCGCTCCACTACGGTCTTTAGTCTTTAGGTCGGGGAACGAAGAATGATATGAACATAAAAAACGGAAGTCTGCGCGGATTTCTCGGATCCGCGCTGGACCCCCTGGCGGCGCCTCCGGCGCCGCCCCTGGCGCGCTCCGCGCGCCAGGGAGGGGGAAAACCACGCGGACCTCCGACTTTTATGTTTGTGTCATTCGTTGTTCGCCCATTAAAAGGCATGGGTGGATCTTTGTCTTCGCGATGAAAGCTTGCTCTTTGGCCTGCACTTTGTTTTAGCACTCCACTACGGTCTTGAGTCTTGAGGGGGATGGATGGAGAGAGGGGGCAAAGGAGTTGCACCTGGCTGCGCAGGGGCCGTGGCAGACACGGTGCAGCAACGGTACACAGACCCCTGGACCATCATAGCCACGAGCTCGGCGTCCCACCACCTCGCCATGTGGATCGTCTGTCTTTCTCCTCCTCCTCCTCCTTCCTTCTCCTTCTTTTCCTCCTCCTCCAAGTAAATAGGGTCAAAGGATCGCGCCGCATCGCCGATGCACCACTGATGCATCGCCGCCATCGGCGAGGAGAAAACCAAGCTCCGCATTGATCCGCGTCGCCGATGCGGCGCGATTCTCTGACCTCAACTACTCCGGCCACATTGGGAAGACCAGGAGACTTGCCCTTGTTCCCATCATACAGAAATCCACGACACAATGAGGCATAACAGACCATCAAAACACGGACTGCATGCACCTGACCCGCCGCTCCATCACTCCTGGTCGCCACTCACAAGTGCCCTCAACAGCGCGCCACTTCTTCACATCGTAGGCAAACATCAGGTGTTGACCCAGCTCTGGAACAACCATAGCACATGATAGCTACCACCCCAGAAGAACCATCACGCGAACGCTGAGGGCGCAACCTTGGGCGCGAGGAGTGGACACTCCGCACCAAATCGACACCGGCAGTGCAAAGACGGGGCCCTGGGGACGGGGCCCTGAGGGTTGGAAAGGGATCTCGGGTCGAAATTGCACTGCTCGAGGCCCCCCCTCAACCTCAGAACCCTACTCCTCAGGGCCCCACCATGGAGCCGCCGATGGCGAGCAGGCAGCCCCCCCGTGCCAACTCGGGCGACAGCCTGTGCCCGGCCCTCCGCGCGCGCCCGAACCACGCCCGCACCCCGCCCCAACACTGGCCATCGCTCGGACGTCCATTTCCCGTGCATTTTTCGGTTTCGCGCGTGCTCTCTTGGCTCGATGGTCCAGGATGGTCCTCGGTGGTTCTCGCCGAGAAAAAAAAAATGCACACGTCCGAGCGATGCCAAGAACACCACCCCGCCCGCGTGCCGCTCCTCGCACGCTCCGCTCCCCCCGCGCGTGCCCGGCCGCGCAGAACCCGGTCACACGGCAAGTGCGTGTCGTGACGACCCGTTGGCTTCTGACGCCGCGTGGGTCGCTCCACCTGGAACGATCGGAATTTCCGTCGGTCGCCGGACCTGGCCATCGCTCGGGCGTCGATTCCACTGTGTTTTTCTCGGTCTCGTGCGTGGCTTCTTCGCCAAATGGTCCAGGATTCTCCTCGATGGTCCTCGCCGAAGGAAAACTGCACACGTCCGAGCGATGCCAAGAGACCGTTCCAGGTTGGCCGACTCTGGGCCGCTCGCGGCGGTCAACCCTGGGCGCCCGCGGCGGGGTCACTGCCGCGTCGGCTCGACGCGACCCTGCCGTACCTCTCAAGCAACTTCCCCTGTCTGACGCCCTTCTATCACGATAAATCCCCGTCGCTCGATGCAGCCGTCTCAGTCTACTGCGCTGCTGCGTCTCGCAAAAATTCTGCTATCCTCCCAGATTCCGCGGCGTCCTCTTTGCTCCCAGCCGCTGGCGATGCAAAGCGGTCCACTGGCCACGGCAAGCTGGGGGAAAACAGCCCAACCCGTACGTTTTGCCTAAAGCAAAACGCTTGACTCAGGCTGCAATTAGATAATCATACTAACTAAACTAATCCAATATTCGCAGACTCAGCGCCAGCTAGCAATAATCCGCCACCGCGCTTGTAGCGGCCGGTGTGGTGTGTGTGTGTGTCTGGCATTTGGTGTTGTTCGATTTGCTTCTTGCGAAGTGATGAGGTAGCCCTTCCTCGTCGAATCGAGCCCACCATGTATTCTTTTGGGTACGGAGTCCCTACGTTCTTTTTTGCGCCTTCTAAGAAAAGGGGCGCTTCCCCGCCACACCCCACCTTACTCCCCGCCCGAGTGCGGAGACGCATTTGCGCGGCAGCGCAACTGGATATCTGGACGCCTGTCAGCGTCAGAGGCGAATGAAAAACGGCGCGAGCCATGCATCTATCTCAAGCGATAGTGAACATGGAGAGGGGAATGCATCTAAAACGATTCCACTTCGCTGGGAGATGGAAAAAGAAAGGAGCAAGATAACGAACGCGGAGTAAGGGCTGGGAGAGGTGAAACGTAGACCCCTCCCCCGAATGTGGACAACACAAACTACTCTGCATCAATTTGCATCCTCGCCGTCCTCTTTGTCCAAACCCTGCAGCAGTGGAGGAAGACTGCACTGTTGGTGATAGTGTTCACAAGCCATCGCAGTTCCAGTGAATGTATGTACACGTATACAGGCTCTGAATATACAACACTTTGCACGACTTTGCATCGCACGCGCCAATGACGCATGCGCACACATGCGCAAGCACTGTACGGTATGCAGTTCAACATGCCGCCCCCTGCTGGCGCTTATGTATGGCGTGAATCGCAAGATCAGTGCAAACTTGTTCATGGCAGAAAGGAACGTGTAATCCTGTCTTGCCACCTTCAGACGCACCCTGCGCACCACGCTACTTGGCACGAGAGCATGGCAAGCCACCGCACACATCTCCTGACAGCGCGCCAGCCTGTCCCCTGCGCTTGTTACTGTCGACGTGAGTATGAGAGCGATCGCCTGAGTAGCACCACCATGTGGGGCGGGGATTTGTCGGCGGTGGACAAACCTCCCTTTAGTAAACCTCCCCTTAATGAAAACGGCCTGGGACCGAAACCGACGGACCTGGACCCGCAAAAATGACGACCGCGACGCCCTCTCGCGAACCGAAAACGGCCAATTCCTCAGTCGACGTGTCAGGGTAGGAGGTCTGTCCACCCCCGAATTTGTCCATCACCGCCGCCTGGGGGATCGGCCTTCGGGGACCGCGGCAGGCGGCGGATATGGATACACTTGGCCCCCCGGGGCCCGAACGTAACTACAGTCATCGGCCTGACCTAAGGAACGAT